GAACATGTCACCTGAGGGCAGGGCATCTGCCACAGGTTTAGCAGAGTTGAGGGGAACCCGTAAGGGACAGGGAAACTTTAGATTGTGGGAAGCTTCTGCCACTGCCAGGCATGAAGGGAAAAGGGGAGACAGTGACCAGAACCGGGTGAGACTTCGAGCCCCAGGAAGAGACCACCCCTCAGGACCCACTGCCAACAGGAGGAGGCCCAGCAGGAGTATCGGGGGAATAAAAGCCAGATCTTCTCTTCCTTTCAGTTCTCCAGCTGTTGCCTGCCCCCGCCCTCCCCTGCCACCACCGCCAATCCAACAGAAAGGCAGAGGAGCAATGGAGACTGATTGAGGCAATCCACAGAACTCAGCCTCAGCCTCACAGGGCAGAGAACAGGGTGGAAACAGGTAGAGAATGGATCTGGAGGGGAGAATAAAAGGAATCCCAAATACAGGGCTTTTGTCTTTCTCAAGTTTAAAGGAAACCTGCACATTTCCAATGATAAGTCTAATACTTATCTGGAGCAAAACCAAGAATGACCAGGGTCTGCAACCATTCAGAGGACCACCAAGGCTACTCAAAATCAGCTGAAGAGAAAACACGACTTGGTTCACCGCAGAGGTGGGTTGATCTCAGACAACACCGATGCGTACCCAGCTCCTGGAAAGAAAACTGCAGCAGCATCTGTTATTCTCATCACGTGATGCAGTTGGAGAATGTTCCTTACGGAAAAATGAAGACAGCTCCACCCAACACCGAGAACAGGTGACACCTGCTAGTACTTCCCATTTGGATTTCTAGCTTAGTGTCTGTTTTTAGATGAATTATGAGCCTTTTCCTACTGACTCAGGCCTGCTTTGGAAACAGAGGCATGCGCCCTCTGAGGAAAGGTGGTATTGAAGAGACTAGCCTTTCAGTGAGCAAATTTCTAAATGGTCGAGCCATTTGACTACAAGGTTGGCTTCCCCAGCCAGCCGCTGAGCTGCATCGACTGCAGCTAGGAGACCGTGCCCTTAAAAACCAAGAGCATATTGGATCTGGGATTGCTGCTGGATAATTAGAGAGACAAAGACAAAAGAATTAAGGCACATCGTTCTTGGCATGTTTCTGGATGTTTTTGTTTTGTTTCCAGCATATAAGAGAATAGATGGTGATTATTTAAAAGTGAACTTGGAATTCATATCATTCTTAAATAGTTCATGCATGGAATGTAAGTAGGTCTTGTATATAAGACCAAAAGTACCAGAGATGCCAAAAGTGAGAACAGGTTTTAGAAACAAGGATTTGAGCAGGAGTCTACTGCTAATAAAATTTCAGTAAATCCTTTAGTTAATACTGGAGGCTTGCCTTCATATCACTTTCTCCCACACCCTAGCACCCAATAAGATATTGCTGCCTAATTGAAAAGTTTTCTAATAAGAGTTTAGGTAAAACTAATTTAAAAGAACTCATTAGCTAAATATAATAACACGGCAGACTTTCTACAGCAACTTTACTGGTTCCCTATAAATAGAAAATTAATTAATGGTGAAGAAAATAAAGCAGTAACCACACCAGACTGTGAAAAGTAGTATTGTTTTAAACTTGTATTAACTATTAGTTCATTACAATAAATTACCATGGCCCTGGAAAGTTCGTCTGGATACCAAATTTACTTAAGATTGGTGCTGCTGGAATCAGATGCTGTATGAGCTCATAATGATGAGATCTTTTAAAGCCTTACCATAAAAGAGGCAGCATGGAAAACTATTAGCAGCAAAGTTTTGCTAACTACCTGGGCTATACAAATACATACATACCTTAAAAATGAGAATCTTTAAGAATTAGGTATAAAGGGATATTTTTAACTACTTTTCTTTTTTGAATCTTTATATCAAATATTATCTTTATAATACAGAAGTAAAATTATATTTTTTTAAATCAGACTGGTATAAAGTAGAAAAGTGTAGCCAGAAACTGGTTTTATACTAACAAAATATAATGGAGAATTTTATGTTTTCTGAAGGGGAGTGAACGGTGGGTTATTTATCTTTTTATCCAAGGGACACTTGCAAAATGTCTTACTCTCAAATTCACTTTAATTTTGTAAAGCCAGTATATGGTGACATAATAGAGTGTCAAGTGGAATTCAGTAGTTATCCATTTAATTCGGACATCAGTAAGATTTCGGAAAATATCACCTAGGGCATGCATTTTCTGGAGTGAAATGGGTATTTATGTTGACCAATTTCCCTTGCAGTAGTCAGATTTTCACTTTATATTGAACAAGATAGAACCAGCACAAGCATCATGGACTTAAAATAGCATCGCTCCACAGTTTCCAGCCCCCCCTGCTCTCTGTATATGTAATACATACAACACCTAGTCCAGACTCCTCATGCGAAGTTAGCCCCTCTGTAACTCTGTCCTCCTTCATGTCCCAGACTCACACCACTCCCTGAGTACTCCCCAGGATCAACATAGGGAACTGGGTGCTCCGACTTTACCTTCTTTATTTCTCTATCTTCACATCATTGCCCATGAGAATTCCTCAATTGGAAAGCATGTCCCTCTTTTCTCAGTCATGTAAATGCTTTCTCATCTTTCAGCATGAGCCTACCCTCCTCTGTAAAACCTCCTCATCACACTCATGCAAAAATTATTCATTCTTTCTGAGATCCCCTAGCACTTGGTAAATATCATAGTATTATTTAAACTGCGCTGCAGTTACTTGTTCACATGACTATCTACACCACTGAATCGGAGATAGCTTTTTCTTACTTACCCACCACTAGCATGGTGGCACAAAATAGACTTTGATGAGTCATTGTTTAATGAGGGAATGACTAAATGAATGGCTGAATATTAAAGTCACCCTATTGAGAATCAATAGTCTGTTTTATATAGCACACGAAAGAATAATGGATTCAAAAGTTTACGTATGGGTCACCTGGAATTTAGGGCAATATTAAGAGCAAATAAAAGGGACTAATGCATCCTTAACCCTAGCATATATGCCAATTTTTAATCTAGATTTATGTATATGCAAATAGAACTTTAGTTTTTCTAGATGCCTGTGCTAAAGCTTGAACACATTAATAGGAATGGCAGGGCCATGTGAGATCAACAAAGAAGGGAACTGAAGTTCCTAAGTTTATTCTGGGGGAAAATGCAATAGAAAGTACCCAGGCCCACTGAAAATCTCTAATACTGGGCAGGAGAATAGGAACTTTACAATCTAGGTTTTTGGAAACCACACAGAACTAACACAGAGCATGGGCTGTAGTGTTTTCTCTATGCCAGTAGAGGGCAGCACACACTTCATTAACCAGGGAAGCAGGTTGTGCTGAATTCCTACTTTAGCAGCCAGGAATTGGAGTGAGTGTTCTAGTGACGAACATCTCAGGATTCTTCCACCTCATCAAAAGTCTCCTCAAGAAATTGTATTCTTTAAACATTTTCTATGTTAACATTGTTTCATCAAATTCTATCTCAGATTTCAAACTGTGTATTTATGCTTTGGGGGACAGTGTGGCAAAGCGGAAAGGATGTAGCCTACGGTGCTGGACAGAGCAGGTTTGTACATCTGGGATCCACCACTGACTAGCTGTGGGATTTGGTCAAGTTACTTAATCTTTCCAATCCTTGTTTTCATCTTTAAAACCTAGATTCTAAGATTCGCCTCCTGGCGTTCACGTAAGATCAAATAAAAATATAGGTATCAGCTTGATGTTTTGTAGTTGTCTTCCCACTTCTGTTTCTTTCCCATGTAGAAAAGCAAATATCTACAAATGTGTATCATATGCAAGGGTCTTTCAAGACTACAAAAGCGCCTACCCAGAACCAGCCTTGAATAAATGGGCCAAGGGAGCCAAATCCTCGGCCAGCAGTTCAAGCAGAGTATTAAAACATTAGGAATACTAGTACTAATAATGTGAAGTTTCTTGAAAATAGAAAACACATCACGCACTGTGGAATTATGGAAATACAAAAGACAAAGTCATTTAATAATGTGTAGTACAGCGCTGCTGCAGTTCCCAGGATCTGGTAGGAATTCAAGATATGTTAGTCCTTGTTGACAACAGCCAAGACACGCAAACAACCTAAGTGTTAATTGCCAGATGAATGAATAAAGAAAATGTGGCATTATATATACAATAGAATCTCATTCAGTCATAAAATAGAAGGAAATCTTGCCCTTTGCAACAACATGGATGAAACTGGCAGGTATTATGCTAAATGAAATAAGTCAGACAGAGAAAGACAAATGCTGTAAGATCTCACTTCCATGTGGAATCTTAAAAAGCTGAACTTGTCCAAACAGGGAGGAAATTGGTGGCTGCGGGTTGAAGGGGGGCAAGGAGAATGACTTGAAGTTGATCAAAAATACCAACTTCCAGTTATTAGATGAGTAAGTTCTGGAGATGTAATGTCCAGCATAGTGATTTACAGATGACAATACTATGTTGTATACTTGAAACTTGCCAAGAGAGTCAGTCTTAAAAGTTCTCACTACACACACACACAAATGGTAACTATGTGGTGGTGAATGTGTTAACTAACCTATTGTAGCCATCATTTGCAATATATGCATATATCAATCATCATGTGGTACACCTTAAACTTATACAATATTATATGCCATTTATATTTCAATAAAGCCAGGGATAAAAAGGATGTTAGTTCTTAGCTTCCACCCATACATACACATGTCCCTCAAGATGCTGTTTAATATTATTTACCTTAGTCTGTTTTTTTTTTTTAAATATTTGATCACTATTTTTAACATAGTAAACATGAAATTAAATAAAAGCATACTTTAATTTCTCAGTCTTGTCCAAGTCTCATATATTTTATTACTCGAAATGTTTACCATTGGTTTTTACATTACTTTTAAGTGTAAAGCTAAAGCCTAATTTCACCAAGGATACCAAACATTGAGAGCCAAAAACCAAACCTGGGTATCAAACAGAATAAATAGCTGAGAGATTCAAGGTGAAGACAGCAGAGTCCAGACCAATTGTGGACTTACCACGTGAGCGCAGACTCAGCAAGCTGAGAACAGCTCGGCACAAGGGGCCTCTGTGTCTTCTCTAGTAAGGGTCGAAGGATGGGGTCCACAGCCATGGGCGGTGCATACCATATGTATCTCAACATCCATGAGAGCTGTGGAAATAAGTGAAGCCCACTCACATTAGAACAAGAAGAGATTATTTATTCAAAACTTTCCCTGGGCAAGGGGGTCAGCCACCATCACTTGTGTTTGGCAGCAACTCACAGGCAGGCAGAAGAGTGGGAGAGCTTTCTGGTGGAAGAAGGGATGGCTTCCGGTATGCCCTGATTAGAAGCTGTCGGTATGGAGACCCTGCAGATGGGCTACATAGGAGTAGAGCATCTCATGGGATTAGTTAGGGGTGCATACTTGACTTTCTCTGGTTGGTTCTAAGTTGGAAGAAAGGGCAAAAAGTAGTTATTGTGTCCTCGCCATTTTGGATCAATTGCCACGTGGTTCTGTTTGGCCTCCTCTTGTGGATAGCAGGTTGGCCTCCTGGGTTGGTTGTGGCAGGCTGTGGGCCAGAGTTGTAGTTTTATATCTGGTTTGACCATTGTCCCTTTGTGTATTTAGTCTCCCACCATGAGAGAAACAAATGCCAGCCTTGTAAGATGTCTCTCTCAATCCCTTAGATCTCCTAGTCTCTGTCTCCTGAGCTCTCTAATTTCCTATCTCTGTAATCTTGGGTGAGTCACTTATTCTCTATTGGCCTCAGATTTCTTTTCTGAAAAATGACAGGCTTCATCTAGAAACTGTTCCCGGCCTGTTGTGAGTGTGGAGATGGAAGGGAGAAATGGCTCTGGGGAAGGGACATTCAGGTAGTGTCTGGCACTTGTGAAGAGTCCATAGGCTCTATTACCAGCACAGCAAAGTCAAGTGAGTGATGTGAGGATGTAGCTCAGGTAAATGTTACCTGGCAGGTAACTTGCTATGGGGGGAAAATGGTTGAAAACCACTGATCCAGTTAATCTGTCAGGTTCATTCCGCTCTAATTGCAGTAAGAACTGATTCCCAGGTATAAACTACCCACCTCACCGTCTGTGTATGATCATGACTAGCCTCTAGGGGATTGAGAGCAAAAGTAAATGCTGTCCTTGTGGTTGCCATGGGGCCAACTGGCAGGTACGTGCTGATGGAAGGCCAAGATCAAACAGTGATATTGATTTAATCATTAAGTTCCTCTTGGTTTTCTGGTCTCACTGATGTTAATCCTCGTCTTTTTCAAGTGCTTAATTGTCCTTGTGGAGCCACAGTCTTTGCTAAAAATTGAATTACTATTAATATTAATTTCTGAACAAAATGTTAGGTGAAATGCCATGTGCTGCCCTCTTCAGATTATTGAAATAACAGACCACCCTTAGTCATTTTGAGTGGTTTTGCCAGAAATTGTGATGACTTTCCTGTTTTTCCTTAAATTTTTAATCTTGCTCACATAGTTCTATGTACACGTTAACCATTTGTCTATTTAGTTAATATTTATCATTCCTAGTAGATATGAGGCATTTATCTAGGTCCAAAAAAACTATCAATTAATAAAAATGGGTAAGTCCTAGTCCTCACCAGGGCTCACAGTTTAATGCCTAAATTGTACTTAAATACTTAATATTTCTAAAGTGATAAGCATAGGAGGTAAGATAAGGAGATACAGAATGATCAAAGGTGTTACTTCTATGAAGTCATGGTAGATGACTTCTATGATAAATTGATATTTGAACTGAGACCTGAAGAAAGGGAAGGGAAAAGCAATTTAGATATAAGGAAAAAGCTTCTGGGTAAAGAAAAAAGATACAGAGGCCCTGAGACCACAGCATACTTGGCATGTTCTAGATACAGGATGGAGGCCAGTGGAGTCAGAGCTGAGGGAATAAGGGAAGGGAGGTAGCAGGTGATCATAGTGTAGAGAAGCAAGGTCATAGAAGGTCTTGGCCCCATGGTAAGAATTTAGAGGCTTTCTCTGAGTAAAACAAGAAGGCATTAAGGGTTTTGAACAGAGTAATGATATGATCTCTTTATATTTTAAAGGATCACTCTGGCTGTTATGCTGAGAAAGGACAAAAGGAGAACAGATGGAAGCAGAGGGACAAGCAGGGAGGCCACTACAATGCTGCCAATGTGGGCATCACTTGGCTCAAATTAGGAAAGTAACAGAGAGGAAGGTGAGAGGTCATCTCACTGGATGTGGGGTGTGAGCAAAAAGAAAGTCAAAGAAGCTTCCATGGTTTTTGGCCTCAACAATGGACAGTGGAGTTGACAATCACTGAGATGGGAAGACTTAAGGACAAGCAGATTTGACAGTGATGAAGAGGCAGACCTCAATTTTGAACATGTAAGAGGCCTGTTAGGCATCTAAGTGAAATCTCAAGTAGGCAATTGAACACATGGGTCTGAAGTTCAGGAATTAGGTCAGGGCCAGAGGTATAGATTTGGGAGTTAGCTTACATATCAGTTTATTGCTATGAGAATGGAGGAGATCAACTATAAAGTGACTGGAGGCAGAGAAGGCTTGGATGCTTGAGCCCTCAGGCACTCAAATATTTGGGATCCAGAAGATAAGGTGGAACCAGTAAAGAATCTTGGGAAGGAAAAGAGGACATTCAAGAGAGAACAGTGGCCCAAAGTCCAAGTAAAGAAAGTGTTTCAAAAACAGAGAGATTACCTGTGTTAAATGATGCTAATAGAGTAAGATGAAAACCAAAATGACTTTGAATGGCAACACAGAAGTCATACTTGATGTTGACCAGAGAGGTTTTAGTAGATTGCTGGAGATGAGAAACTGATTAGAGTAAAATCAAGACACCAGCAGAGGTGAGGTGCCTGGGTGGCTCAGTTGGTTAAAGCCTCTGACTCTTGGGGTTTTGGCTCAGGTCATGATCTCTTGGGTCATGGGATCAAGCCCTGCGTTGGGCTCCGCACTCAGCAGGGAGTCTGCTTGATGACTGTCTCCCTCTGCCTCTCCCCCCCACTCACACTTTCATGCTCTTTCTCCAAAATAAATAAATAAATCTTTAAAAAGAAAAAGAAAGAGACAGAGAAGCAGAGGACATGGAGATCCTGAGTATAAGAGACTGTGTGAAAGAGTTCTCCTGAATTTAAAAAAGGAGTATTACCTCAGAGGGACATGGAGAAAGTAGTTTTTATTTAGTGTTTTGTTTTCAAGCAGAAAAGGAATGATGCAGTTGGCTTCCCAGATTGGGTGAAAAGGGATATAATGGAAACAGAAATTACAGGAGAGATGGAAAGTTTCTTTTCTTTCCTTCTTTCCTCCTTCCTTATTTTTTTCTGGGGTGGGGGGGATGGTTGGGGAAGATAATGAGGCTTGAATTTTAGCCTTATGTTGGATTTGTAGGTGTCTGTCGGACAGTGAAATACATGGCAGTGCTCTGCAGACAAGTATTTGGAAGTTATGGTTGTTTAAGTGCCAGTTGGTGCCTTGGGAGATGATAATCTCACCAAGTGTTTCTGTCTGCAATGAGAAAAGAAGACTGAGGACTGACCCTGAGAGGAACTACTACTCATTAAGAGGCAAATCAAGATGCGGAAGAAAGGTGTGACCAACTTAGCTAGTGCTCCAAGGTCACCTGGAACCAGGTGTTGGGACTAAGCCGTGAGGCAGCTGGTGGTGACTTTGGCAAATACGGCTTCAGATGACACAGCCACATGGGAGAGAATGGAGAGCTCACGGCAGGGGTGGTGATCATACATGTGTCAAAAAAGCAAGAGCATTCATATTATGTGACCCCAGGCATGCGAGCAATGATTAGGAAGTACATGTAGAGAAGAGATGTAGAGTCTGTTGTAGAGAACACGGTGCATGGAATTGGAGTATTTATGCTCTACTTCTGAAAAGCTGTCCAGCTCAGGTATAGGTTATACACCATAGAGATGTTCTGCTTGTGGGGAAATAAGATGGGAGAGGAGGGAGCAGAATGAAGGCCAATCACCTGGGTGGCTCTGTTGGTTGGGCAACTGCCTTCGGCTCAGGTCGTGATCCTGGAGTCCTGGGATCGAGTCCCACATCAGTCTCCCTGCTCAGCAGGGAGTCTGCTTCTCCCTCTGACCCTCCCTCCCTCTCATGCTCTCTCTCTCTCTCTCATTCTCTCTCTCAAATAAATAAATAAAATCTTTAAAAAAAAAAAAAAAAGAATGAAGGTCAATGATAAATAACTCAGTTAGGAGGTCCCGGTCACTTGGTTAAGGAGAATATATTCTGAAACAGAAAAAGCACCCCATAACCTCTACCCAAGTCCCTTCTTGGAAACCTAACAAATAAACAGATGTACTGTTTTCCCTGCACTCTGAAAGAGGCATGTTCAAGGAGACACATGTACAAGAAGGGACATCTCTACTCCTCAGTGGCTCTTTCTAAATTGCTCTGTGATAAGGCCATATGAACAATTTATAGGAATACGCCATTTGGGATATAATTATTCAAACTCATTACATTGCTTTGTTCTCCAACCTGCACATCAAAAAAAAAAAAAAAAAACACACCTCAAAAAGAGTAAGAACAGTATTTGTATGGCACTTTTCCATACAAATGATTTTTTTTCATGTAGAATCTCACTCAACTTCCAATAATTCGAAGGACTTGATAATATTTTTATCATCACTATTAAAATGTGGAAACCAGGCCTCAGGACAGGGTAGTAAATTTAGCTTGAGGTTGCCTGGATAGGAAAAGGCAGGGCCAGGACTTAATTGAATCCAGGTAATCTGACCCCTGTACTCTTTCCTCTATATTAACTCGCTTATTCAGCAGATGATGCCTGGACCCATAGAGATTTCCTTTAATTCCACAAAAAGCAAACTGCTGTTTTAACTGGGCCAATTCCTCTACAATTTGACCAAAGTTGAGAAAGACCATATTATTTGGTAGGTGAATAGTGTTCAAAATTTAAATTAAACAAGCAGACTTTACTATTCACATTCCAAAGTCTATAATAAATATATAATAAAAGTATCAAGACAGAAAAGAAAGTGGCATTTTAAATAGTATAGGAAGCTCCCCGTGAAATACCACTCAAGTGAGTGG